AGGCGAAGTTGACAAACTATTTGGCTAATCAAGAAGAGCGCTCTGGAAATCTCAAGCCGAAACTTTCTAGACAAATTGCTTATTTAAAAGGCATTTTTGTGCTGTAACGTCCCATCACATTCAAATCGAATCGATTTACGACAATGTAACGCTAACAATAGCCTCTAATATAATTAAGCTTCGGAACACGACGTAGATCATATTGCTTTGAACATTAATCCGCAGGTAAACTCCTGATCAAAAGTTATCAGCGACTTAAGCTACACAACCAACATTTTTTCAATGCCTTCTTCTCTATACTCCAGCGATGCGTTCGATTTAGCTAAGAAAATCCGCATCCAATTAGGACATCTAAAGTGAAAAAATCTTATTATAAGTTGCTTATCGTAGTCGGTGTACGAATCGCTCAGGCCCTGGTTGTTACTTGATGATTGCCCCATCGACTGCTGCCACGTTTCTTTCTGTTCCGTGCACGAAATCCGCGTCGTTCTCTCGTACTATGACGCGACCAATGGGCGTTCTCATAGAAAGATACTCTTAGAAAGACCCATTTGTTTAAGAAAATTTATTATTAGTGGAAAATGCTTGTTATTAAAATGGTGCCCGCGGATGGCCTTCCTACCCAAGACGTGACGTGCACATACTCTTCTGCAAGTCCCAGTTAGGCCACTACATATAAGAGATATCTAACTCCATTTTTATATTTATATGAATGAGCTTGGCCTAGATATTTCATTGTTAATTAGAAATACGGGATCCGACATGTTTGACTGGCACAAATGCCAAGGTGGATTTCAGGGGCCACTACTAGAAAGAGTAACACAAACTCGACTCAAGGATGGACAGTAGCTGAGAGACGACAAGACCTGGGCAATTCGCGCAGTGCGATAGCGCTATCAGGTTGTATTTCGGTCATTCAATACACTCGTTTGCCAGAGCGATCGCAGGACAGAATTCTGCGGATGCGTATGTGTCCGTATTCCGTCATGACAACGAACCAACATCGTCGACTGCCGTAGGCAACCCCGATACCAGCAATATAATAGATTTTCGATTTAGAGCCTTCCTTATAGTGCAGCCAAATTGGACTATTTATCCAAAGATACTTCCAAAAGGGAAGAGGGTAACCAAAATCAAATCGTTGTAAGCAGTCCTGGATACGCCTAACTAATTATAAAGCATCGCCAGAAACAGTAGCAATTTGACAACGAATAATGAAGATAATCCGGTAAATTTTTCCCCTTCAACAAGTTAGATAGAACTTGCGCGAATGTGCCATGTCTTGTAGCGATCGATTCGTACGAGCATCAGTGACGAATTCCTTCCAATTTCTATAGAAAAAAAAGATCAAGAAGATAAATCATAAAATTGTTATACTTGACCCTGTCTTGTTTTTTACTATTTGCTTTTTATTAATTTAACCGAACTTACTTTCATAGAATTATAATTGACTATAACAATAATAAGTAAAACCAAGTAGAGCTGGAGAGCGAGCAGGTGTTCGGTGGCAACTTCGGGAAGAGCATAAAATTGGAACCCTACCGAAATATCATCTTAGAAATTTAATGGTATAGTTGTTTTCGGACCGAGGCTGTGCTTAGTGTTCTAATCAGCGTAAAGTTCACATCCGTGACCCGTCTTCGTAAACGACTTACGTTAACAAAGAAAACGATATGTTTCAGCTGATATTATAGATGGCATTTTGACACGTTGGTCAAGTACCAGGTATTATTTATGAGGGGGGAAGGGGGTACTACCGCTGAGACGGTGTTACACCGTCATAGTGGCTTATCAGCTAAATATTACTAATGGAGGCCCCAGCTATAGCCGGTCACCTTGAATCCAGCCGAGTGGCTACGGTTGCAGCAGACTATGAAACATATTCTACAACACCGATTTAAACGGTTAGTAAATATTAAACATGGAAAAGTGGATAGGTTGATCGACGCACGAATATCTCGCGTCGTGGTGGTCCTCGGCGTTGTCCACCATTCGTGCCTCGATACAGCCAGCGGCTAGTCGTTGAAAACCGTATTTAGGTAGAAATAGTTTATGTTTTCAACATTGTTACTATTATTGTTGTTACGTAAAAGACTTTTGGTCGCGATTCTCGCTTCTTCTTCGTTACCGAAACGTAGGTATTTTCTGTCGCTGTTCGGCAACAGCGTCTATACATACATATAGTCTCTATTTGTTGATTTTCAATATGCAGCGTTCCTGTGCTTCGTGCACTAACCACCATATAAATATTGAATCTTTCAAGTATCTTATGCCATCATATGGATAGGGGAGTGCACAAATATTGAAAGAGCCATGCTCCGCTCCTTGTTACTGTCGCTGGCTACATGAACATAAACAGGTTGTATCAATACGAATCTGACGTTTCACGTACTCGGAATCTCCCAAATCCCTAATGATAACAACGCACCTATATGTACCGATCCGCGTGTTAATGGAGCGTATTATTTATATAGAAAAAAGCACGGCGAATTCTATCATCAAGAACGTAAGGGCAAGCCGGTCTAGCACACGCTCAGATGTGTCCGTAGTATCGCCACGTTAGACGCGTTAATTATTGCACGGTTGGCAGATCGACGCTGTAAATTATGTGCCGCACAAAAGATTTCTGACCAATTTTCCAAACAGCCAATTATAGCTATATGAAACGATATGTAATAGCCATTATATCTGAAACGACTGTTTTCTCATAAATTATTAAAGAAGAGAAAGAGAACAGTAGACGCTGTGGGTTCTGCCACCTTCGTCTATATATGCGTGTATGTGTGTAAAGAGAGTTATACAAGCGCGAAACAATACTTGCGATGGCAGGTTTCCGAGCTTTGATAAATAAAACAAGGATCTATTCAAACGAGAAAATTGTCGCTAATCATTTGTCGCTGTCGAGCCGAATCTCTACAGAAAGAGTAAGTGGTAAGCAGAACCAGAAAGAACTCTCACAAACGAAATCAACTAAGTTCATGCGCAAAGCATGCGTGGAGCTTTTGAAACGTTTGCCGAATTCGACAGGCACAAGGCTTCCCCAAAAGGTCAAGTGCAGGCTCACTGGCCATATTAAGCCCAATTAGATAAACCTACAAACAATCGCGAGTAACTCTGATACAGTTCCGCTTGCTTCTTTTAAATACAATGAATGCCGAAGACACCTATTGGCGTTTATTACTGTACAGATAAGTTTGAAGCTTCACGTTTTTTTGCCATGGCTATCAGATGGCCATGTTGTGTCTTCGTTAAGCAAAATTTACACCTTTTACACCACCTTCTACGATTCTTGTAAGCCATCGTCCGGCGGTTATTTACTATAGTGACGATGTCATCTCTAAGGGGCATACCGCACGTGGTGAGCGAATCAAAGATTCTTCAGCTCTGACCAGGTTCTGGATGTTACAACGAGCACTTCAGTGACATGGCTTATTATAGTTTCCTCTGTAACCTACCTCGAAACGAGACTGCCGTTTCTGCCGCGACCGCAAAGCTAGGCCTGCACTCGTTGGCAGCCTCGCATACAATCGCAATATTCCAGTAACATTAGGTGCCACTATAACTGTTCATGACCGTGAATACACCCCATCAGATAGGTGGAACGTCAATAGAATAAACGTTATATCCAGTTTGTACCAGGATCGATGCAACAGTGGCTTCGCTCCAAGTACGAAGTGTAGCTCACAGCTGAATGTGTGATTATTGTTGTTTACTTTACTATTATTTACATCTAACCTGGTCAGTTCAGCGCCCACTTCATTTACTGTTCGCCTGTAGAAAAGCTTTAAGTGTATCAATCCAGGACAGACCGGCTTATAAATTTCATAAAAGCCCACACGGGGCGTACTTTACTAAGTATACGGATCGAACTAGCGGTTAACTCATATCATCTTTGAAACGAATCTAGCGAACTACTGATTGTTATCAGGTTTAATAAACATCGACAAGTATCTATGTAGATATGTATACCCGATAAACAGTCACGCAGGACGCATTGGCTGCAGGAACTTTCATTTCATAGTACAGCTTACTACGGGGTTCGCTCCTTATGCTAGCTCCCAGGGATCATCTCCCTGGTTGTCTAAAGGATCGGTTTTGCGCAACGTTAGCTTATCCGTCAACTTTATCTGAAACGTAACATATACTTAATAGTATTTAGTGCTATCTACAGTACAGCAATTCGTCATGCCTATTATACTGAAGGAAAGGGAGCAAATAAGAGAAAGAAAAAAACTAAAAGCACATTTACAAAACACTAGTGCTCAACACGTCCCAATAAGCTTACCATACACTCATTAAGAGTCTGTTACATAGAGAACACTATAATAAGACTGGCGTGGGCCAGCTCGAAACGGTCAGATGTGCTTGCATCGACGATCCGAGGAAAACTAACTTCCAGATTTATATCCACTGTGTACAGCCGCTACGAAATCAAATGGAGCGCATTAAGAGTCCTCCGAGAGTAGACGCCCAAATTAGATAGACTGGGTATTTTATTGAAATAGATGGGCATAGAACCTACGGTTGCTGCTAGCTAATGTGAACCAGAACGAAGCCATTTTGGAATGAGTTACAGCGGCCCCGCCTTTAAATATCACAGAAAAGTAACTAAGATCGCAAAAAGCTGAGACAAAACAATAGAACTATGTTAGAAGACAGACCCTACAGACATTCATCGACGAAAAATGGTAGACATTGTGAATCAGATACCGTCGACAAATGTTTCCTTGCTACTCGTTTTTTTTTTTCGACCCGGTTCACGCCAGGCAAGTGGCATTAATTTTATATGCCGCGCCCACTGTTACACTAATTGAGTTGGAATATCTAGAATCAAGCCAGCCCTGCCAGACAGCTCGGTACTGTTTCCAGACATATCACAACATACTGAGCTTTGGGGGGCGAATTTATGTGACCGTTTCGAAACTGAGGCTAGAAGCAAGAACCTTCGATGTTACGATCGTTCTCTAATCAGCGATAAAAACAATGCTCTGAGGATGTTTATTTGCAGCTCGGCCTTCGAATATCCGATTTTACCTAGGTTATAATCGGCGTCTCGCCAATTGTCCTTTAGTAGCTATCGTATTCTTCGTATCCCGATATTGTGCGAAGGAATCAACCGGCTTGATGAAGAGACAGACCGTTGTCACCGAAACACAAACTTCGGGTGTATAGCACCGGCCATGCATCGTGCAGTGACAGGGCACGATCAACAAGACACGACAATGGCACGACTTTGCTGATGCATTATGATTCATATGTTTTTGTTGTTATCAGCTCCGTTGTTGCTATCGATACCTTTATTCTATTCTTGATTATCGACTATTTAGATAAAACCTGCTGTAACATACACGGTAATTGCTGTTGTTCTTGACACTCATTGCTGACGCCATAGAGCCACTCTTATTATTATCTAAATGTGTTTGTTTAGCCACAGCTCTGACGGTTACTAAATGAGATATTACAACAATAGTACAATAATACTTCTGCGGGAACACCGACTTAGCGGACTAGGATGGTTTTTCATAGAAAAAGCCGTTACTTGTAGACCGGTCATACGTCGTGATAAACAGGTGACAAACAGTTTCGCATAAGTTAAGCATTTCGAAACAGGCTGGAAACGCTGTGGGTTGCCCGGCGTCAAACAGGCGGGAAACACTAGATAGTTCCAAGATGTGAGGGGTACTGTAGAAGTCGAGCTTGATTTGCTGTTACTTTGTTGCGAATGTTACTGCAATACTTAATGCAAACGCGAATCGGAGTTAACCGTTTAATTATTATCAATACTATTACCCAGTGACTGTCTTTCTTCAATAATGTATAAACGATGCTTACTTCCGACTGGAATGAATGAATGAACAGCTACCGGCGTACTTAGAACCGGTATGATTAGTAATTAGCTTATATTCAAGTTTGTTTGGAACAGTACTAGTCTAGTCTTTAACTTGTAGGTCGAAGCCTTGTGCCTTATTAGCCTCTGTTTGTCGTACAGACACGTTACCTCTGCACCATCATGGAGAGAGATAAAGAATCAACCAGCAAATGCAAGCAGGGTCATCAGGAAGAGGATAATCGGTGTTTACATCGTACGCCACTTCTTTGCCTCTAGAAAACATTATATATCTTGCGTGCTTGCTTGCTGCGAATGCAGTATGTCGTCTTTCCTCGCAAGCGTCTCATTCGACGAGAAGCTGATTTTATTGAGATGAGTGTAAGACATTACCTAGTGTGCAGTGTCATAACAGCCTTAGGAGTCAAAGCAACATATACCAACTAGGAATCGCCACAGACAACGGAAGCTGTGAATTTAGCGGCATACCAATTTGGCAACGCTGGCTAAAGTCTCACACCGTTACGGCAAATACCTGGACTACAAGCGGTCCCGGGCTCGTATACATCTTGTTTTGAGTGAACCTACATAGCCACCATTATTATACGATATAAGGATCAAAGCAGCGGCAGGGGCTGCGACGACGGAGAATCACTTGCAGCAAGCGACGTCCGTACAGTTCTTTTTTTTGTCTCTCTTGCTGCTACTTGTATCAAACGAATAGTTTGCTTTAGAAAATTGTATTTGCCTGCAGCACTGGTTGATTGTCTCGTTGCTTGGTTCAGCAGGCAGGCAGGCAGGCAGGCGATGGGCGTGCGACCACCGCACCCTCGCGAGTGTTGTCCGTTCATCCATGGGTTCGTACGTCCGATTCTGTCTCCGCGCTACGCGCGAGTCAGTTCTTTCCGTCAGCTTTGCGGTCAGCGGAGCAGCGCTCCAGAGGCGCGACCAGGCTACCCGAAATGAAGCTCCTCTCTAGCAGAAATCCGCCAAAGAAGGAGGACAAATAGACAGATCGGCAAACGTATCACTCGTACTCCGCCATTAGTGTCGATAATGGCAGACAAACGGCCTCTGCGCATTGCAAACCACACCGCGTCGTTCTTTCGAGAGGACCGAACACGGGCGTAACGAGCAGACGACAAGTGTCGCTACCAGCAGCTCCGTCACTGAATAGGAGATAACAACGTGAGTGGCTCCAGGCGTAAGGCGACAACGTACTACTGCTGAAATAAACATCAGCAACGATTGTAGCCGCAGCAACATCACCATTAGCGTCAACTTATTCAGCTGCCACTAGTCACCACCGTATTTGTTGCTACGGCCGCCGCTGTCTGTTGCCTACTCGCTCAATCAAGCGCCCAGTGACTCTGCGCATCGACCGTTTTCCAAGAGAGTATTCGTATCATAGCAGTAGAAATAGAATCACAGTCATATTGTTGAGTGTCCATCATCCTGCCGCAATAGCAGAAGCAGTTTATTTTCACTTGCGGGCGGACGGCCGACCGTCGTTGCAGCTCTTACCGTTACGTAACGATATACGCTAGTACTGCCACAGCAACCACGCAGGACACCTCACGCTGCCACCACGCCCAGTATTATTACGGTTACATCGTCACTACAAAAAGCACCATTCACTGCTGCCATCGCAGCGCCAGCCATTGGCAAACAAGTGACACCTAAAGAACCTGCAGCAACTTGGCCTGTAGCTGTGGCTAGGGCCATACCGGGTCACAAAATAAAAGACAACCTACGGAGACAAAGCCCACACCAAAGGAGCATGGACGTAACGTGCACGGTATTGTCGTTTTTTTAACTACACTATGTACTCTGAATTTATGCTTTGAGTGCTTGTCTTTTTGGCCCTGCGCCCTCAATCCGATGTAACACTGGAACAGCGAAACGTGAAAATTAGTGTGGATCGACCTGTCATCGATTCGAATCTACGAAAACATCGTTCCCCGTAGAACGTGGACTTAGTTATTATTATACATGGAGTTTACATAAATTATAAGTCCGATCTCATTGGCTAGCTCAAATGACCGTATCCGTTCTAACGTGTCCTTCAGCGTCAATATCCCAGTGTTTAACCAAAGTGTCGACTAGTACGGGTCCGTTCAAAGAGCACCACGACTAATCGGTTTACCATATTCCCGCTACCAGCAGCGACAATGGCGTCCTATTGTTGCTCGCCAGCTCCGTCTATTTCGTTGGTCCCAGAAAAAAACTATAGCTTTGCTTAGGCCGAAACGTGCTTCGTCAAGAGCAGCGACATTGGGAATCGTAAGAGCCAAAACAACAACAGTAACTACTGATCTTACGAAGTACTATTACAGGCCCAGAGACTCTCACTAACGTTCTACTGCTAATTATCTTACCGGCGGATGTTCGAACCTGCGAGGGCCGACTGCTGGGTAACCCCTCAGCATGAACTAGATTCAACCAGACCTCGCCAGGGGTAGACTGCAGTGCGCGCGATTGTTTTCAATGCATTATACGTGTGTTCATATCAGGCAAGGGATACGACGCGCCAATTACTGCCAGAATAACGATTGCTTCTTCTGCTGCGGCCGCCGCCGCCACCGCCACCGCAACAACAACGCTGCCTTAACATGGAGCACTTCAGGACCGAGGAATATACTATGGTATAAGTACGTTGTAAATACTGCAAACATGTAAGATCCCTTAGCGAGTCACACCCTCCGCTTCTGGTCTTGCAGAACAAGTAACGTACTTGGCACTGGGTAGCGTAGATGAGATCTGCCACACTGCTTTGCGGCGCTGTGACACGTTTAGCAAAAAATGACAGAGGCCTTGTTTGGTATGCAAATCTTTGTCTGTATAATGGTGTTTAAAAGGTCCGTCCCGTAAAGTTCCGTATAGATGCTAAATCCGTCTCGAGCTAGGAAATGTTAGTTAACCATAACAGAGGACGTCATTCCGAAAACAGAACACGCAATTCAGATCATTAGGGAACGGTATACAGGTAGAAATGTTTTATACGGTGGCCATTCCCATGTGTCTAGTAACGTATTATAAGTACCGGTCAACAGTGGACTAATTGCAAAGTCAATTTATATCGATAAGCTCATTAGTTGTCTCTCTCGTGTAATCTCTTACCGTGCGTTTGTTTGTGCTGATTCGCAGGTGACAGGCAATGTATACGAGTGAGATAAGCCTATCCTAAATGACAGCCTGCAGCTTCACTGCCTGACGATAAGAACGAAGCCCTTACCTACTCAAAGAAATATGGCGACTCTTGGAAAAGGTGAGTTGGTATTAGCTAACTTTTTCTTAATCACCAGGCCGTTTTTCTGTTCGTTCACAATTTCCGTATTTGCATAGGTTGTTATACCTGATATACAAACATAAAAATGCTCAGCCTATGATGTGGTGTTTGTTCCAAGCTAAAACAATTCATAGAATAGAAATCGAAATCGGTGCTCAAGTGACTATCTGTCACTCTGGCTGCAAAAAAAAAGCCCGATTCTCTTCCTTAAGTCCTGCCTTTGTTGTAAAGACCGATGGAACTGAAGGTATTATTATCGTGACGACATTTGCTTGAAATTCTCGCCGTTACACACTTGCCCAATTTCCATCAAACCGATAATAGATTTTTTTAATACGTGATACCGATCACACATGCTGAGAAAATACCGTCGAACCAACGTGTACTCTGCGATCAATCGTGGTCGATCGCCACTTGTGATGATCGTCAAGTGCCCCCGCGAAATTTTAGCGTAGGCTAGCCAACGGTGGCATTTCGCCTGCGTAACGAAAACAAATACATATAGACACAGAGACGCTACCAACAATCCTAGAATATTGTAGAATAGATTCAGCTTCTTCTTGCAGCGCGTCATTTCATCGCAGTGGAACCCCTCAGTGCGTCCCGCTGTAAACCGTACCGTACCCTTCGTCATGCCACTGCTGTCGCCGTCGGCGCAGCCGCGAACTAGAAGCTGGCATTGGTGGACAGGGTTGATCAGACAGCTCGTTCTCGACCTAAAATAAGACCTCTAGAATCAGTTCAGTCGTTGGATTAGTCATCACCGTCAGCCATCGGCAATTACTGGTACAAACGCCGGGAAACGTGTAGTTGGCTGCGTCGTCGCACACCCCATCGTGAAACGTATGATGCTGGTGATGCTGATGCTGATATTTCGCACTGCCGTGTAGCTCCGTAATCGACGCTATCTGCAGCAACTGGGCTAGAAGCGATTGGTACTATCGATATTGTGGTTCTTGTTCGGTATAGCTATTTCAGATGGCGATCACGTTTCTGCTGGCAATGCTATCGGCGTTACTGACGACGATAGAAACTTAGGTCATAAATACATACACGCTAATATATTGCTGACACATACAAAGATAACCAGAATAGAAACTGCCACCGTCGGATCACCGAGCCGGCGAAGTCCCAGTCCCTCAACGCTAGTTGTAAGCTAAGACCGACCCCCTATAGATGATGACGAAGAACGAAGCTAGCGGAGAAGGCGATACATTTCATTTCCACAAGCCAAACCAATTGTTTCTTCATTGCGAAGTATTGAGGGTATCCAGCCATCAATTTGTTCATCATAATGAGTATTTGATGAATATTAATCCGGCACCTTCTGTTGTCCGTAGTGAATAACTTTCGAAGCTGAAAGCTGGACTTCGTCCCCCTGATCCTTGAGTCTGAAGCTGTATCAGTTTTTTTTTCGCTTTAATCTAAACACTGCACAAAATTAAGTTACAGGCGTCTCATAGAGGCTGATAAAGCGGTTTGCTATAATTCAGCTACTAGGGATTCAATCTTGTACATTTTGACTCTACACACGATACCATCGCCCTTGCCACAGTTACACCTAAGTAAATTAATTGCAAACCTAAAGTGTTGCCATAATAACTAATCACATGTACATAATTACACGCAGAAACGTCTAAGACGTTATTTTAGATAGCTTCTAACGGGATTACTGCACGCTACAATCCCACTAGGCAAATGGCTTTCGAGGAAAACTCCCGCAATGCGGAAACTAAATGATCCCTCAACAGTTCCTGCTGTTCGTTTGTTGACCTAATATTTGCATTCGTAGCTAGAAAATACTTTTCGTAAGTTCGTAGTTTCAATGCTTCATCCGAGTAAGTTAATTTCCTATGCAATTATTAGATAGATATATTTATGAGCAAATTATCTAACAACTAACATTGGTGCTGTTCGATTTCAAAATTGCGCGGTACGCCATTCTACCGGCTGATGATGCAACAATGCGACCGCACTCTTCGATGGGATGATATGGGTCCTAACTTGAAACAGACATTGACAAGAAAAACATTGAATCATACCTCACGTCGCCTCGCCGCCGTTCCGTCGTCATTGATGATGAGCGTTGCGTCGAGATTCCGATTCAGATGAATCCACAACTCGACGCTTCGAAACTGCGGTCTGTCGCAGGTCGTCCACCTACGCCTATACCGAGCGACGAAGAAAATGATGATGATGATGAACAACAACAACAACAACAAAACGGTGCTGGAAACTCTTCGTTACTTGATGCCACCACTGAGGGTAGAAAACATTTTGTTTCTACTATTGATAGAGCTGCCCTAGTGATAGTTATATATGTTGTATATAGGGGAGATATTCTAGCTAATTAATCACTTGTTTTTGTGGTAACACGATGGCGCATGCCGAGAAATCCATTTGGCGGAGCAGCCATAGTTCGAGAAGACAAACTAATAGAAGAGAAATGTGCAGAAACACTTAACAAACAAATGTAATGTGATATAAATATGTATTTTTTTAGAATTTTGTTTTTACCATACCGAGGTATGGGCTGGTTATAGCTGTATACGTGTAGATTACGGCAAGTATTGTGACAGTAAAGTGTATCTATATGACTTTTCGTAGTGAGCCGCGTCTGCAAAAGCGAGAAGGGATGCACCTAAAGAAAGTTGCCCATCGAGTCATGGCAGGGACTGACCAAAAAGGTTGACATATCCTTTTCTGTCCGACAGCCTTTCGTAGTTTTTCTTCCATAGGTAAACACCTATCGTTAATCATTTACGTTTGATTTTCTCTGAGTGTATCGGTTGGTGGAGCGGCAGCCTGTTCACCTTGTTGACGCGGTCCACCTTAAGGTTCGCCCCGCAAAAGGCTGTACTCTATTTAATCAGCTTGAGAGCGCTACGTGTTGGGTCACGTAGCGCTCTCAAGCTGATTCCACAGATGTTTAGTAAACGTTTGAAATTTAATCACGAATCTTGTTTTTATCGCTAGTATGAACGACCTAATTCACTGCGAGCCTGGGGTCCACACGAATGGAAGCGCGGGCTAAAAGAACGTTCCATTTCTTATGTTTTTTTTTTGGCGGATACTCGACAGCGATACAGCTTTTTCCTTCGTTTCAGTAGCATCTTCCCTTTACTCTTTTCGTTTCATTCTACATGCACAAAACAACCTGAATCGGTCTGTATCGCAACCGTATTAATAGTTTAGGTTACGAACGTTAGGACAATTGCGCGTGACATTCGAAAGCGATCTTATCCTGCAGTCTGGTAAACCTATGTCACGGTGCAGACGCAGATAGCATGCTCTTATTCCCATTCGTAACTCGTCACACCCAAATAGAACTAGCGTGTGAAACGCATCGCGGACGCGCGCTTAACAGCAGTCAACAGACCGTTAAAAACTGTATCTCCTCCTGTCATGCCGACATTTCCATGCTTTCCAAATTCAGAAAAAAACAAAAACAATTCAGTCGTAACCCACGCGCGGCCTCCCGCCGGAGTTGCACTAATCTCAAAATTAGCTACCACTGAAGGCCAGGCCTGTTCGGTGGCGAGGAAATACAAACAATAGAAAAAGCTCAAGGGTAAGAAAAAGCCTATCGCGATATTCCGCGAGCGGTCCACGTTTGCCGTTCTGATTTCACGGATGATGACGACGACAACGGCGGCGCAGGCGGCAATGACGAATCCAGCCAGCCAGCCAGTAACGTCGTCTGCACTACCGTACAATCATTGCGCCGCTGGGTTAAAACGAATGAGTAAGCATTCTTTTCATCGACCATTTAGCCAGTGATTGGTGTGCACCCGTGTGTTTCCGCGTTTGATCGTCTCAGCTCCGTACAATAATACAAGCACAGTAGAAAATGAATTCTCTATGAACAATAGAGCTCACGGTCCGACGAGCGGCACCGGATGCAGCCACGTGTATATTTATATACCTCTTCTCGATTTTAGCCATGCCCCAATCGGCCAGCTGCTACGTTCAACAACGGTACCGTCGTACGAGTTGTCCGCTTACAGTATGATAAACAGGTAACTGTGGCGGTTGATACGTATCACGCCTAACGTTGGCCCACTGACGTGCGTAGCGCGCGATACACGCAGCGATGACTCTTGCTAATTGTGCATGTATTTGTCCTGAACAAACAAATAGATGCGTCTAAATACTAGCTAGCCACTGGCCCTCTCTACCTGCCAAGCACGGGTACACCTTAAAACCTGCATGACAGGGATCGGGCCATGTAAGCTGACTCCAGGCTTTGCCAAGGGAGCTACGAGCTATTAAAACGAGGTCGCAACAAAGAGGACAAAGAGAATTTCATGCCTATGAGTCATAGACGACTTGAGTCGCATTAGCGGCCTGTTTGGGTTAGCGGAGTACGAATCTAAGGACGATCGTAGCAATCAGCCATCGTCCTGTTCGGTACGAAGCAACTTGGTTTCCTTTCACGTTACATTTGCACGTTCATTTCTTTCTGTTTCTTAGATATTCGTTTATTGATTTTTAAGAAAGCTCTTTTGCCTATTGATGTGCACCTATGAAATAAAACTATATATATATATATATATATTTATTATACCGAATAATAATAATCGGGAAAAGTATATCTTGTTTTGCAAAGAGCAGTAGCAGCATGACACCTAACGGAATCAAGCGCCGCCAATATCGACCATAAACATAAGCGTACATGTGTTCTTTGCATTGATAGTTCCCCTTCAAATAAAGAGACTTGCCTTTCTTTACGTAGAAGTTTCAAGCAACGCAAATGTACATAATCAATCTCGATAAACTAAGCTATTCCAAGATTCTGGCTGCACGCAGCTGACATAGCAACAGGTGTCATCATACATTTCGTCATTGTAGAAATGGGACGACTTCTGAGAATCCTTACTTGTGTGCCTCAAAGATGGAGGCCATCAAGAAGCACTGCTTCAAAGCAGTGGAGTTATCAATTGCTTATTCTTTACATAAATGACACACGTATAGGGCTGCTTACAGCGAGTTGATTTATCCCAATTGATTACAGGTAAACTGGGCTCGGGCGAGCACGTATCGTACGAGGACAAGCCCGAAACCAAGCACAGCGAAAAAGAACTTCAGGGAATCGGTAAAGAGACAATAGCTGCGATCGAAGCGCAAGCGCCACCAGCTAAAGGATCTCGCCACTAGATAACAGACAAATAGATTATGATTATTAGATATATGCATCGATATCGCAACCACAAAAATAATAATGGGTAGCTACGTAGCTAGGCTAACAGAAGACGCACGCGTCCAGAGTCGGGGAGAAAAGCCCATACGGATCAACATGTAAATACACCTCAACACAAATACTGTGAAGCTAAGAACATCACCGTAGAAATCTTAATGACCTGTTCCTTCTCCCACTTTGCCTCATGTTACCGTACGCGCCAACTAAAAGCTCCCATACAGGGGCCGACTTCTTCGGCCTTGAAAAACGTTCCAATGGTTGGAAAAATGATGGAAGAGTTGAAAGGAAGGGTTCATGTGCACCAGAATGCATCTGCCATTTAGTCTTCTCCCACTCTGGAAAACGATGCAAACGATGCGATGAGTACAGTCGCTGTCGGTATTCTATTTTGTGCAATTGATTTTTTCCACCTTTGTGGTGATATGCCCACGATTCTATTTTGGTCTGTTCGAGGATACACTATCAACGCAACAAAGATGAATGAATCAACAGATATGATAGCGATACGCAGATAAAGCACTGGGTATAGTCACGGTGAAAACGCGCCGATCTCAAGTCTCCTTGGTGCATTCGTTGTTTCGAGTAGCCATAAATATTCGTATAAATGATGATGGTGAAACGTTGCGTGAAGTTGTTGAAGAGCACATTATTTAACAACAGATAACTACGCGGGTGTGCGAATTAAAGAAGCGAGCGGAAGAGAAAATTATTAGGGGTCGCCCATCAGTTGCCCAAGTACTGATGGTAATGATGGAAAATGGTATGATAATGTCAATGTGCTTATGATGATTCTACATACAAAAGAATAAACACAAGATAAGCTTTGTAGAAAAAACAGGTGTCGTAATTACATGCGGGTGTATTTCTAGCATCAACAAAATTACCTCAAAACATCATTAGCGTATAGGGGCAAACGTGCGAGTAATAAATCCATTAATATGAGAAAGCAGAGTTGCGGTCAGCTGGAAGCTTCGGTTACTGTATAGCAGATTTATTCAGGCCGATCTGTTGTCCCCTGCGCGAATTTCACGAACTCGGCTGTTGGGAGAAGCTGCCGTTGAAACGCGCATTCAGCAGATATAACGTTGACTGACGTTGGTCTGGTGAAAAGCACGTTTCAATATGTATTGTCCAAAATGTATTATTGATCGCAGCTAGCCCGTAGGGATACTGTGTTTTCTCGTATTTTTTTCGTTTTCACCGTAGCATGGGATTGACGCGCTCATCTTCGAAACGCGGACTGCTTCATAAAAGTTCTAACGTATGTATAATAGACGCGTACTGTGAAGCTTTACCGTTTTGCGATTTGACAAGCTCTTCAGTTGTCACCCCGTGACAGACACCTTAACAACATGAATCGTTGTGGTTTCTGTTGTTTCCTGCCCGACATTGTGCAGCGATAAAAAAAATTATGATAACTGAATGGAAAGAGAAGCTCATTCAAGCTCATCAAGACCGAAAAGCGTATGATTGCGAAGACCCCTTCTGTAGTCAATGTTTTCCCATGCGATAGAGACTAGAAGAACTAGCATGTGAATTTAGCGCGAAATAATCTAAATTTCGAGACTTTTTTGCCGGACGCTAAACGTTGCTAGTTGTGTATATAGTATGGTATACAGATGAAAGCAGGAGGACAAAAAAAAAAAGTAACAAATTCATAACAGAAGCCGGTTAAGCAATTAACAAGACAGAAAGTGCAGATAATGGAATTTATACGGCCGATAAACAACAACACTGACAATACATCTCGTAAACTATACAAGTCCAAAGTTACATCATCATCGAACGAATGCTATGTGTAGCATAAGGACACATTAATTATCCACGAAAATGCCTATGTCACGGGCACTGCAAATGCCTTAGCTCAGTTGAAAAAAAGCTCTGACGAGCTCCATGTAGAATAGGACAATTAGAACAAAAATAGATTGCATATTGCTAATTTGATTAAGCCTGCGCAAAAATCAACGAAAATTGAACGCTATGACTAAATCATCAAAAAAAAAAAGCAGCAGGAAGAATGATAATTGGCACAAATGTCATCAAGATAATCAATGACACCTTTTAGGTAAAAATAATTTTTGCCTCTTCCCACACTCGACTTCGAAGGGATCTCCACCTTACCAGCTATGCTAATGATGTCTGTACACATTTGTGTCCGATCGGGGCAGAGGCCATCCTATGGTTGCAGTGGCGAAAAATTCATTCATGAGAATCAATGTCAGCCTTACACTCCGCTACGGGTAACGTATCCGCGCATTTCAACACACACGCTGACGTGTTTATGGGTGTACGTACGACTCTCTACCGTCTGTTGTCAGAATACTCTGTTCGTGTATCTCCTTCTCTCTGTTATCGGTATATACTGTGAATAAGACCCCCCATCTACGACTTTAGGGCCTCAAAGCGGCCGAGTTATATCAACATGCTGTGCTCTAAAGTTGATTGCAGCAGACAAGCTAGGACATTACTGTATTAAGCTTTTTTGATTTGTATCGTCTAGTCTGCCGCAAATGTAGTGCAGGCGAACTAGGACGTGCTCCAGTTTACCGTCGTCGATCAAAACTTCTAGTGATATTACTATATTATAGATCTGTAGTCGTTAGTAGAGTAGTCTAGTGGTATTGGACTAGTCCTTTTCGAAGAAAGCCAAACACGTACTTGTTTGCGCGTCTTATTCGTATAATAATATATATGCCTGTGCATGTTTTTACCATATACTTGCACAATATAGGCTCAGCATATACGCCTGTGGGATCTCTGCTGTCTTCCTAACTACGAAGTCGCTTAGTTCGTAGCGTTCAGAGGCGAAAGGACAGCAAAAAGACGGGCGAAAGTAGGCTGCCGGCAAGACTCAATCTTCTATCTGTTTTCACGAGGTGTTATAGGACGGAGCTGAAAGAAATGCTTTTGTCCGTAGCGCCGTTGTTTGCCGTATCAGTGCTGGTTCTGCTTTTAGGTTAGCCTAATCTGTAAAAGACAATGCGCTTGCTCTCTTGTGGTTGCTCAATGTCGTCACCGAAGCATGTGTGGTAGCCGCCGCTCGTCTTACATAGTCTTTCCCTGGTGGCAGGGGGGTAAGAAGTGCGGAACGTCGCCACGACTGCAGTCGCGAGCGGCAGAACTATTACGTCTTTGGAGGAACAAGCAATAGAACAAAACGACGTCGTTCACTGTCGCAGTAGGACCAACATCGATAGCGTCAGCCGCGCCAGTGGGATCGGTGCGCCAACTCCGTTGAGTCGGTGAAGTTGAGCTTTACTGACCACTTCAACAATATCGTAGTTTTCATTGTTATTACTGTTACGACACTTGTTTACTTCAAATGACAGCTGACTGCTGCTTCACGTACCGACAATATCTCCTTTAATGGCGCCACTACCTTTTCGCAGGGGCATTATTCTATTAGTACCGTCGGATGCACCTTTTTCTCGGCAACATCTCTTTGATGGCTGCTGTTGTTATGATATTCTTCGGCAGCCAAGTGAACTACAGGTAGAGGAACCGGAAAGGGAAGAACCAGGCTGCAAAGCCATATTGCGATGCTAATTTAGTTACGTAAAATATAAACGCGTACGTGGCGTATTCCTTCTGTCGAGGTGTTCTGACGACAACGGCTGGGGTGAAAGTGACGTGCAACATGCGTCAGCAAAACAGAGGGGTAACGGATTGAAGCTGAAAGAAAGTGAATAAACTTACACGGTTGTGTTGCAAATTCAACTGGGTTTGATGTTACTCTTCGTCGCATGAACCTAAATCACTGATATTCCAGAGGATATGAAGCTATGTAGTAGATAGATAAAGTCAAGCAAGTAAGTGGTCCGTCCGTACATTCATTGTCCGCTAAACCCTTGCAATAAATTATATCTGTGTACATATGTACATGTGTCTGTACATGGCTAGGTCGTTTTTGGCTTGTTCTTATTTCTGGGGCAATGTGAGATTCTGGGGCGAAGATGAGTGCCCAAGCCGGACAATTTGTTTGACACGGCCTTCAAAGCATAACGCGTTGCGTATGACATAGAATTATGATGTTACCATCGTAATGATCATAAAAATGATAACCTTACCTCGCTAGCTACCGTAAATAATTTACATGTGTAGTATTGGTGCGTGATAAAGGATAGACTATTTTTTTAAACTAAAAAGAAAAAAATTTCAAATAATCTAATTTGAATAGAATTTCGGCTTCGTCTGTAATAAAGAAGGTTTCCTTCAAAACCAGCTTGTGTAGCTACCGCCAGATTTGGCATCGTAGCGTGATGACACGTTTCCGATCGTGACAGAATGCTGATGAGCGCGTTGCAATGTCGTTAAATAAAACGGCCCTAAATATGGTCAATGGCCACAGTAAAAATTGCTTGCACGTGTAAAAAATAGGCCAAAGTATATTTAACGCAACTAGCAGTAGCAATGGGTGTCTTTCCAGACTTTCTTTCAGCCTAGCATGTGGGGACAGATGTGAGCAGAAGCACCTCTAATTTCATTACACGTTTCTGGCGTTCGGAAAGTTATCGTTTGCAGAGGGCCGACATCATCTATATATATATATATATATATATATATACTCTGTCATGTATATTTTTACTAACTATGTGTTCGCAGCTGCTGCAGACTCACGCAATGACCTTTCCCACCACAGTTATACATTGAGATCAATCGGCTAATTTAATAATAATGACGGTATTCTTCATGCAAGGGATTCAACAGCGATGCGATTTATCTACTTTTCTGAGATTGGCCTAGCACCAAGTTGATATAGATGTATATGACTCATCGATACTTATATATATTTTTCATTCTTTAGTAGATTTACCTATCTCACTGCAAACAGTCTCATTAGTTATAGCCTGTTTCCTTCTGTGTTAATGTATGTTGTGTCTGTTGATTGCACGACCAGCTTTTGCGATATACCTCGAATATGGGTTTGTATGTCTATATCTAATTGTGTCATATAGCTTCAAGTACAAGTGCCGTTAGCCAGCATTTGGGTCGGGACTGGGTAAATGGCTCGAGCAGAACGTTCGTATTTTTGTCTTTCTCTTTTCTGAACGTTCTTGCTCATATGTGGGTGCCCCTCATACGCAACGTTATAGTATGCTCCTGTGGATGTATCACAGTACAAACATTTGCATGTAGGAGCTCAAAGATAAATTGCCGCCGATTTAGATGCCGCCGCAGCATGCCTGCTACGTTTTGGCTAGCATACGTGCGCTTACGCATGCAAGTCGTCAAATGAAACAGGAAGATTCTGCCAGGCAGCCATAGAAGCTGCAGCAGTAAGGGTAGCCTGACATCCTCGCTCAAAGCTTCTCGTCCATCCTTCAAAGCGGAACAAGGATCCGGTGAAAGATCAGCCAAAATCAGTTCTATTATTTAAATTGCTTACTTTATACAACCGGCGAAGATTTAGTAATGTAAAGCTACGCATGCACATTTCAGTCCGCGTCGAAATCTGTTTTCGGTCTTCTGTTTTTTTTCCGAAACATAAAAACGTTGTATGTTTGTTAAGTATTGTCGAATTGGCCGACAGTTCAATATCTGAATCACTCTGCAAAACCTTCCACTGCAACAACTATAAATGTGTCTTCTGAGGTCTTCAATGATGTAGGCATTTTGTTACAATATTGAATTCTGCGTGTTTTTTTGCAATAAATTCATTTAAATAAGGACTAATGCTAAATAACCCGAGTACGTTCTATGTTTGGCCCAATGTAACATCTAGTTTTTAGTAAAATGGCAGGAACGCAGCGATAAATATCGACGAGCATTTTCTAAAGTTCTAGTATAAATCACGCAAGTCAAATAAACTTAGCCAGTAACATAAATCAGTTCGGTAGAAA